CACTTGTGTTGTTATGTAATAATGAATTAACAAAATTTGATTTAGCGATCAGTTTTTGCCCTTGAAACAAATAGTAAGTAAGAGAGCTTAATTTTAACGTGAGGAAGGAACAGGTGTTGAAATTGATTAGATTGTTGCTTGCTTCGTGACTGATGTTTTCGTTTTTTGTATGAGAGACGGGTCGTAATAGTGATAGTAAGTAAAAATAATAACATTCATAATATCAGTTGCAACAATAACATTAATAAAAACAGTGCTAGTAATATTCGTAGTCACAGTGATAGTAATGGTAGCATTCATCATGAAAGCGTTCGCAGTAATGACTTGAGTAACGTTTTTATCTCTTCACACATACGAGCATAAGCTAATTGAATAGTAATGTTTGATTTGATAGTTATTCTTACAAGTCAAAAGATCAACTGATCGGGTTAAAACTCATTAAAATAAAATAAAACGAATAGGATAAGAAGTTCCAGTTATTTAAAGTATTCAGTTTCCATTTGAACTGTTTTAAGAACGTTGAATTAATCAGCAATTAAATATGGGCTATTGAAAGGTTAATTAGTTAATGAAATTGGCAGTTGCGATTAGGAAGAAAACGAATGCACGAGTAATAATTAAAGCACTCAATTTGGCACATAAACACGTCCACTGCCACAGGCGTGTTTATGAAATGTTTGTAATTGATTTAAAATTCACTATCTTATTTTCGTTATCATTTTGCCAGTCACCTCTGTGAGAGTAATTAATATTGTAAAAATGAGAAAAAAGGCTCTCATCGTACCGTTGATGCTTTCAATCTTGATCATTCACTTCAACTCCTCATTCTAGGACAATAACTAATTAATTCAGTCACCCGTACAAAACATTCAATTCAATTAATCTGCAACAAATTTTCAGAAATATGTGTATAAACTGGCATATCCGTTAAATTATTGCTTCTTAAATTTCAATTTATATTTCTGTGATAACTTGATTGATCTGGATGCATCTGAATTGGGTAATATATGTTATTCAATAATGGAATGAATGGATGAAACAGACTACTGTTCAGTAATGAGACAATGGAATCGCATGAAAAGATGAACAATAAAAGCGTAAACTTACATCTAGATCGACAGTTTTTGCATAAGTGCGATATTTTCGTATTAGAAGAATGATCTGTATAAGAAGTGCTATAAGGCATACAGTAAAAGCTGTATACCATATCACTCGCCACTTGGTATTCGGCGCAAGTGCAGCGTGTGAGATTCCATGGAATGTGCTTTGTCGCTCGAAACGTCGTACGATCTCCCTATAGTTGAGATGCCCTCTGAGATGAATTTTTCTTAGCCCTAAAATTCTGGTTAACTTCTTAGTAGACCTCCATTGAAAACTGTTCACAGTGGATCAATTGTATAAACAGACTTATTTACTTGGTTGAATTTGTGTGTGGGTGCAGAAGTTGGATCATGAATGTCATCGTGTAAAAATTGGATCGTATTGAAAGTGTACAAAATACCGTTATTATGTGGCGATTTTCTGTGTATGAAACAATTCTAAAATTCTGTTTCATTCAACGAGATATCAAGCATGCTGTTGAACCTCTGTGAAAAAGAAAGTTTGTTTGAAATATTTTCAGCAGTATTCAGCCGAAAGTGTTGAGGATATTAGCAATAATGATAATAGCATTACTGTTGGTACAGTTTATATTAGTAGGATTTGTGTTAATAAATACAATAAATACTTTCATAGTCATCGATTGGGAATAGCACAATTACTAACTTCGAATGAAGTAAGAGATGCTAGCACTACAAATACTGGATGCTAACAAAACTTTCATTATTTTGCAATAATCGACAGCTCGTTATTGGCGTTTTAAAGGACACTCACTCATTTTTACACTCATAAACACGTTAGTAAACGGAGGTTGCAGCAATATTCGCCTGAGCGTATGGAAAGGATGGGAGAGCATTGTATCACTGAACTGAAATGTGCAACGCAGAATCAAATGATTTTGATGATGAAGCTTTTTTGAAATTCGTAATGATTTATCTTTAACTGCGAATGCGTTATCCGAATTGAACTATAGGAGGTGTAGCTGAGCAGATCTGATAAATGTAGTGATATGTCAGTGTCCATTAAATTTAATCAGTAAGAATTAAATTGAAGGAGCATTTTCATCGAATAGACGGTTCAAATTTTGACAGTGAAAAATGTGCATGAGTAAAACATTGAGACTAATAATTGATGTTAACGAGACTTTCATTGTTTTGCATATGATTTTCTAAATAGCATTTGGATTCAATTAATGAAGCGAATTGATAGAGAAGAATTACGATGATGATGAATTGGAATTGGATCATTACAAAAGAGAATAAGTGGATTTCAGAACATGAGAACCATTTTTTAAAAATTACATTTTAGTTTGATTCATTCAGTTATTGATCTTGGAAAGTTGAATTTAGCTTTGAGTTCAACAAATATTGAATCGGGAAAAGTGGAGGAGTTTTTATCATTATCAGTAGATAATGAATGAAGAGTCGTTTCAAGTGATGAAGTGGGAAGGTATTCATTTCAAGTTAATGCGATGCATTCACACGTTTTTTCAGAACGAAAGTACTCAGAAATTTGCAGTGAGTATTGCTGCTATATAGAGATGTGATACTTTATGAGTTGAAATATGAAAGATTAGTTTCGTCAGTGATAATCATAATGATTATGAAAGAAGAAGAAAAGATGAACTTATTGTCACTAACTGATTCCTTCGGAGTTTGACGTAACTGTTTCAATCATAAGCGAATGAGGTGTGAGATGTTTTTTAAAAGGGATTGTTGATGATGACGATGTTGATAGAAACAAATTCAACAGGAGTTTGTTATGGGTAGTTGATAGTGGTGGTAGTAGTATCAATAATGATAATTGCACTGATAATGAAACCGATAAGCATGAGATGAGATGAAGATGGCTGTATTTTGGACGTTCCGTTGGAGGGGTATTATGATGTTTGGGAATAGGGTGAAAGAATCTTGTAGATCCTGTAGAGGAGCTGGCCGTAGGCGCTGATGGGGTGAGCTTTTTGACTGGCGCTGCTAACGATTCGGTTGTTCGAACGATAGATATGCTCGTTTGATGGATTAGATAAGTTAGTCGTCTATCTGTTTGCTGTGTTCGCCTCAATCAACCACTCCAACAGCGTCCTACCTGTGCCCTTTTTATCAACTTGTTATCTCAGCAATTCTATCTCATCTCAACTCAGCACAACCTTTTTTTAAGTAAGTCATCATCAATTTATCTATGCCTCGTTCGTTCATCCACAGATGTGTTTCTATGTTTGTTTGTTTGGTTAGTATGTTTGTATTAGCTATATTTTTTGTTTGTTATTATATAAATATACATATATTCACTGTAGTAATACCATTCAAGTTTGAGTATTCTTTAAAATGTGTGATTAGCATTGATCGTTTGATAATTTTGAGTTAATTTTTTATTGTTGACTGAATGATCTTGTATTTTATGTGATTGTTGGGTTAGATTCATTTTGTTTAGCTCAGAGAGTGGATTTGACGAAACTGGATTAAAGAGGTGAATCGCTAATGAAATGAGATTCGTTTGTGGAGGGTTCGAATCGTTTAAAGTAATAGAATGATGAATGAATAGTAAGCAGCTCACGGTACGATCGAAACGTTTGACTGAAGTCAGCAGCTTTTGAGAGGCGTCTTAATTTGTTCCAAGCATCCAATCGTTCTTGCTCTTTTCGAGTGAATCGTGGCTTTGCATCGTTCGAGTACATCTTCTCAATACGATCCGTTAATTTTGTAGCACTGTGATCACTTCGCTCATCATCTTCGCTGTCGTTCTTAGTTTTGGTATTACTATTATTTAGTCGCATATTTTTTTTACCATTATTGTCGATCTGATCAGTGATATCGCTTCTCGAAGCTTTAGAAGAATGTAGGGATGAAGAAGGAGAACATTTGATTTGTATGTGAGAACGCGATTTTGAGCCTGAAATTTGAATAGAAATTTCGATGAACATAATCAAATAATAATTCATAACAAAGAACTTTGTGGTAATATTGCTAATTGCAGAAATGTTGGTGTATGTTCGAGTGATAACTTAAGAAATTGTTTGTTGCATGCCTAAATGCATACGATCATATGCAATGTCTTAATTTTCTATAATTATTTCATGAAACGTGATCAAATACATCAGCTGGTCGAACGGTTCGTTCAATCTTATTCTTATGCGGAACACTAAATCATCACTTCTCATTTTACTCATAAAATTTTGCCGATGACTTTTTCAAGTTCAATGTCATATACACTCTTTCAAATCCTACCCGCTATCTTCAGCAACCAATGAGTATTTTGAGATTTTAGCAGTAATGTGTTTTTTGCAATCAAAATTTTTCATTTCGGATGAATTATAAATTTATTGTATTTGTCATATACCCGATTCTCTCTGTTTACACTCATCCATTCTAAACGTTATCTCATAAGGCTGGAACACTTCATTTTTCGCTGTTTTAATGATATTTAAGACGGTTATATATTGGATACATATTCACTTTGTTTTAGTGCTTCAACGTTTTAGTATGGTGAAGTAATTGAGTAAGCATATTAAATGTAATGTCTTCTTCTTTTTGAGCTGCAACGTTATGTAGATTTGCATTTTATTGAAGTTAAGGGCGCTAAGAATAAATGTAATTGAACAAATATGCTTGAACATATGTTCATAAGAGTGTGAATGGTTGCGATAATGATAATTTATTCGCTATTATATACTTATTTTCATGTACATACTATTGTTAGTTATGTTATATCAGTGGATTATGATGTAGTTGTTAGGTGAGTGAATAGTCTGATAAGGTATAAAGCAAAAGCAAACCTGTCCTACTTATGGGCTTATGTGGTACAAAACCCATACCTCTGTTCGAGACACTCTTTGGTACAGCTTCTTGCGATGATGTTGCAGTGACGATATCCTTACCCGCATTATTGTTATAACCATTATTGTCATCGCAATTACCACTGATATTATTCTCATTATTAATAATATTGCTATTATTGTTGACGTTATCATTATCATTATTATTATTATTGTTATTATTATTATCATTATTATTATTATTATTATTATTATTATTATTATTATTATTATTATTATTATCAGCAATGGTAGGGATAACAGTATTAGCCATAGGAAAGGGTAAGTGAGTCATTGTGAAATATGAGAGTGGATAAAGCAGCAGTGGATAATTTATTGGTGGTAGTAAAGAAATCAATTAACTGATCGAAGTGTTAATCGGATAACACATGTATGATGATATGTCAGTCGCAACGAATGATTCATTATTGATAATTGATTTGCATAATTTAGATTCATTCCAAGACAGCGTTACATTTGAATATATATATTGAATTGTTTAGAAGTGAAATGATGCTGTTGATAATAGTAATAGTAATATTGATATGTGATAGTTATATTAATTTTTAAGAGTGAACATCAGAGGAGCAAGTATGTATTATCAGCAGGGATATATAGCCGTGAATGGATGTGTTGATGGAATATGCAGATGAAAGTGAAGAAGTTTGAATGAATAGTGGAAAATGATGGAGGCAAATGATTCAGCATAAGATGATAGGTTTGATTGCGAAACGATTGTTTTGCTCGCAATTAGAGGGTTGTTATGGCTGTTGACTGGACTGGCGTACGTCGAAGGTTAGCATCGGTACGGTCACAGTTTTAGGTGGAACGAAAAAGTCGTTGTTGTATCGTGGTCCTTTGCCACACAATGGATACTGCAAATTGATAACGCGCTGGTTTTTTCGAGACGCTTCGACAGAATAAGTATTGTGGTTATATAATGAAATACGGTCAACAGTGGGAAATAAATTTTCAGTCGATAAGCGGGTAATGACTAGTTCAAATAGAGTAACTGTAGTAATGAAGTCAACTGAGATCCTTTTAGTGGTGATGAAACTGCGATTGGACAAGATATAGGGGTGCAGGGATTGCGCGTTCCATGCCCTTCTCACCCCCCCTCCACAATTTCGCCTCTTGGAGTATGGAAGAAAATAGAAAGTGGATTAAGAGAAAGGGAATTCGAAAACAGTGGAGGGGTGGGAGAAGGAAAAATAAATAAATCTACAATAGTTCACCCAAGAATTCAGCTATCCTTCGGACCAGGCCATGTTGTTTCGGACCCTGTCTGGAAGAAACACTGCACTACTTTATAT